TGTCGCAAAATTTAACGGGACTATTCAAGATATACAGCACAATGAGATGACATTAAGAAATAACATTTTACAATTGAAACATATTTTATTGAACCAGACAACAAACCAGGATATTCTTTCAGCGAAGGACATTATCAATCAATTAATTATCCTTTATAATGCCATATTGAATATTTTACAAGATATCGAAAATTCGATAACTTTTTGCAAATTGAAAACCATGCATCCCAGTATAATAAGGACTAGAGAATTATTTCAAGAACTCCGTAAGATATCCACATTTTATAAAAATGAATTACCATTTGAAGTAAAGTATGAAAATATGCTAGATTATGAATCTATTATTTCTATCAGCTGTAAAATCGATGAGAATCAAATAAGTTATTTTCTATCTATTCCTATAGATTATCCTGAACATTTCGATCTTTATTATATGTTACCTATACCGACTCTGATGCACAAATCAGAATTCGTCACTATTATCCCAAATTATAAGTATTTGCTAAAATCTGATCGAAATGAGATCAAACCCCTGCACGAGATTTGTACCCAAGGTAGAATCTATCAATGCCCTAATCGTATATTAGCCAATCACAAAGCCCAATGCGAGAAGTCAATAATTACAGAAGATCATACAGAACCATGTAGATACACGAAGCTTCAGATTGAAGAAAATCACATCGAATTTATTCCCGAAATTAACCAGTATTTAGCTGTATTTCTCACCGAAGAAAAATTGAAAATTAAATGCAAGGAGCAAATCGATACAAAGTCATTACTTGGCATTTTCTTAGTCAAAGCCAGTGAATGCCAAATATCATTCCAAGACAATGAACTTATCTTTCAAGACAAAACCTATGGAAAGCCCCTCGTAGCTGACAAAATGGATTTCCATTTTATGAAACAAAATATCCCAGAGACGCAAATTACTCTGAAAACGTTAAATTTACCAGAATTACAAGTTAATCGAATGTTACCAATTTTAGAAGAAAATTCCATAGAAAATTTTGGAAAACCCAGTATTTGGACCATATTACTATATCTCGTATTTTCAAGCATCTGCTGCATAATTTTATATAGAAGATGGAGAAACAAGAAAGCATCCAAGTTAGAAATCGACATTGAATTAGCCGAGATGAAAGAAGAAGGTCCAAGTCCCACAAAACGCACTAGAAGAGAAGATTCCAGTTCAAGATATAAGAAGAAAGAAATTCACCTTCCAGGGGAAGCTTCATTCTAGGGGTGGAGGAGTTATGTACCAGTCTACAGAGAAGAATATGCTGAACAAGGACTTTTGCCTCCACGTGCCTTTCTTATCAGTTACAGTATTGTATTTCATTTGTTCTTTACTTTGGTTTGTATAATGAACTTTGCAGTCAGTCTCGATTCAGAACTCATTCAATTAACATCATTGTATTTGGTCTTTCTCAAAAATAAATCTTTTTAAAAACGTTTTCGTTGAAGAAAGATATTTGAGTTATATATATATATATATGTCTCCTTGAAAATTCGAGGTCTTCTAGCCATTTTTTACTACTATGTGTAGGTGCCTCTTGTTGTGGACTTCGTGTGTCGTTTTTTTTTCTCTCCATCTTCGTTACCTCAGGTTACACCCGTATCCGGATGTGTGGGCATGTGTATCTAGTTTTGTAGTTTCATATGTGCATTCATTTCGGGCCTGATGAAGCCAACTAGCAGAAATACGTATCGCTCGTGTTACCTATCCTATTTTCTGCTCGAATCCACTTTCCTCCTTTTTGCGGATTTTGCCCGTTATTTTCCTACTTTTTGTTATATACCTGTCTCCTCATGATCATTTTCTCTTTATATATATATATACCGAAACCGACGGTTGTTGCGGCATCTCCAGGCACAAAGAGTAATCAAGGATGAAGTACGATACAAACGTAAAATACAGAGCAGATCAGTTGGAAAATATCAAAAGTTATAGTTTAGAGACCTGAGGAGATGTTTGATCGATCTTGTCACATGGATCGCCAACCTCCGAAAGAAGACGGTGTTTCAACTTTGGCCTCCAGTGCATACCTAGTTTGTCTTTCGGTGTTCCTACTTCTAGGCAAAAGCTTAAAATTTTCCACGTATAATACTATATGAGTCTATACATATTGCTTGCTCTGTAATAAGCTCTTCATCTAATTTGTTTCAATACTGGGCTCGCAAAGCAAAAATAATGAGAAAATACTTACGTTGGACTGGGTGTTTGTTGGTGGTTGTCGTGAAGGCGAGGAGTGCTGTTGGTGCTGGTCTTGTTGGTTGGATCGCTGTCGCAGTCGGGCTATTGCAGTCCGGATACCCTCCGTTATAGATGAGCTTCGCTCCCTGTCCACTCTGCAATAACATATAAAATTATCAATTTTTGGAAGATGTGACATTGCCATCTACAGATAATTGACCAAACGTGGTACTATCGACCCCTAATGAGTGAGATGCTGCTTACATCAATATAGCGTCAATATTACCTGTTTGCTCTTCGCTCTTTAACAGTAACCGACTGTATACAATGCTGTTTCATGATGTTTAGCAATCATCAGTTCGGTATAACTCTAGTCATTGCAGACAGACAACAGAACGCACGCAAGCGATCTTGGGGAAGCCGGGAAACAGATTCTATCTAACCGTTATGAATATCGCAGAAAAACCGTCAGTACAAAAGACACGAATATGAGATCAATTTCAAGAATAATGGCATCAGCCCATTATGCCGCATCATCCTAGTACCACAAGAGACAATCTTGATAGATAGATAATCTTTATCTAGTAGAAATGATGGCATAAGGCTTGTCAACCTGCTACCACTGAACACTCCTCTTCCAAACAAAAGGCCAGTGTAAAAGATTGACCTGAATTATGTGCGCCATATCTTGTGAGATGTATGTAACTACAAACAACAAAAAACTGTGGATTCCTCCTTTCACCACGTCGCCTTCTAACTCTGGCACGACCATCGTGCATGCCTAAACAAAATCGAGACTCGTCACTAAAGACAATACTGTTCCATTCCTGATCCCAGAGTGACCGTTGTCCGCACCACTCAAGGCGATTACGTCGGTGTTCTCGAGTTAAAGGGAGGACCCAGTGTGGCCGGTATGAAAACAAGCAAAAACTTCTCATTCGTCGGTAAACACTTCGCATGCCAATAGGTCTTCCGTGTTCTGCAAACCATTCATTTGCAATGGACCTGGTAGTGGAGAAACGGTCCCTTAAGGCCAATAATCTTAGGCGGCGATCTTCACGGTCTGTTGTTCTACGGCGGCGTCCAGTGCCCCTTGCTCTTTGCGTACGGCCTTTTCGAAGCCATGCCTGACAACACCTAACCACAGTGTCTACACTTCTTTGCACTTTAACTGCAATTGCCCGAAAAGAAAGTCCAGCTTCCCGAAGTCCCACTATACGGCCCCTATCAAACTCACTAAGTTGACGAAATCGTACAGGTCTCCGTACTCTAGGCATCGTAACCGATCGTAAAGGATGTCAAGAACCAAAATCCGCTAACGTTGATTCTTTACTGCGGCTGAAATATTTATTTTTAGAGCGTTAGTGAATTAAAAAAAAAGCAGTATAGAAACCGGAATGTCCAACTGATAAGGCTGAAAAATTTTTCACTTGTTATTTACAGTAAGATAAATACATTCACTAACTTTTATTAAAATAAAACCACTTAAACTGGGTGTTCAGATTTATATGTCACTTAGTATATTTTCAAAAGAACTAAACAATTAAATAACGTATTTTAGTTGCTTTTCATAACTGTGTTTTGTGATTGAAGGAAACAGTGTATAGGTGTATGTCGGCGTCAAGCGCTGAAATCCGTCATTCCCTGAAATGCCTATTTAGTCCCCGTATTGCCGGCAAACATGGTAACAGTTTGATTATTACAACGCTTGACTAAGCATTCCAGTTATTCCATGTAGTGACTAAACAATTTCAGTCAAACACCGTAACAAGCACATCAAGTTCTTCACTGCATTTGTCTGATTTAGTCATTCATTGTACCAGTTTTGTGTTCATTTGCATCGTCTTTTCTGTGTTTGTAAATATGACGCAGCATTCAGAATTGTTTTACAAGCAACTAAGTGACTATAACAGAGTGAATAAGAACAAACCATGGAATACAAACGAGTTAAAGGAGGTAAGTTAATTTTTATAATTTTTTGAACCTCACCTAAATTATAGCGTACATAGGCTTGCTCAACAGCAGCATCCTTTGTTGCCGGATTTCGTATATGAATACAAGATTAAAAAAATATATAATTCATCCACGCTGGAGTTATTTATATCAACAATACACGCCCTTCACGCGCGTTTCGCCAACAGTATCGCTGCGGTATTGTGAATATGTATAGAAAAAAAATACAATGAAAAATTGTTTGCAATAATATAAATTATACGATAATTCTATGTAACTTTTATTCGTTTGTCACTACTCGCAGGTTTACATTTTGTTTTTTGTTAATGTGTATTGTTTTATATTTCATTGGATAGTTTCAAGATATTTCTTGCTGATTTAATACACTAATGATTAATGTAATAATAAAGACAACGCTTTAATCTATTCTTCTTTTCTTTTAGACTAACGCATGCTTGATTATTATGCTTTTAATATTATTGATAAAGTAGTATCTTGTTATATTATCTACTTCATTGAAACAACACTGTATTAATTACAGCGTTTGACTAAAATAGGCGAATGCAGTAACGAAGCTAAAGTGGTTGTTACGGTGTTTGACTGAAATTGTTCAGTCATTGCAAGGAATGACTGAAATGCTTAGTCAAACGTTGTAATAATCAAACTGCTACGGTGTTTGCCGGCAATCCGGGGACTGACTAGGCATTTCAGGGATTGACGGATTTCAGCTTTTGACGCCGACATATACACAAAATAATGAATAGAATAGAGGATTCAGTGGCAAGAATTTTCAATAACTCTACCTCATTTGTAGAAAAATCTCTTCCACAAACATGATGCCAAGTTGTTAAGTTTCTGATTGCATGTCTCATTATTGAAATACGAGTATATCGAATGATGCTCTTGGATTTGGTGTTGTAAGGCTCTGATGATTGCATTCTTTGATGAAGCAATATTTATTTGTCTGAACTATCCTGAAAATAATTTGTTTATTATCAACTGATTATACAGGACATTAGCACATTAACTAAAAGTTTTCACTTGTATCGCAACGTCGAAGCGGTCGATGTCGGAAATTTTTGAAACCGGCACGGGTATTATGTATCTTGAAAAGTGACATTTTGTCGTTTTTGTTTTGGCAACTTGTAAGTTTTTTGTGACATATCCTATCCTATAAGATGTTAACTTATCTCTAGCTATTGTACACTTGTTCTGAACTAGTTCTGGAGCTGTACGTGTTGCCTAAACTTCATGATGCTTTAACTATCAATGTACCGACTTTTAGGTAAATCTGCTAAAGTGTCGCACAGTCATATTTGAAGCAGAAAAGTAGAACTTCCGAGGCCGTCCCTCGACATCAGATATGACGCGGTCTACACAATTCATCCACGGCAAAATCAATTGTAGCTACAAAATGCAATATTCTCCAGGACACATTGTCGGACTTGCTCAAAAAAGTGAACCTAGACCCTCCAGTTATCATAAGATTCTTTTCCCTTTTAATCAACATGTTCTGAGAATATATGCATTAGGTGGACTATGATTTTCCATGCCATAACGGCCTGTGTACTTAACTTAAGCCTATAACATCATTCTTAGCTAACACAACTCTGTCAGAGTAAATCATATCATGGATTAATCCAGTTAATCCCTTCGGATGTTTGCGGATTTTCCTATCCGTCCCTAAGGAAATTATATGCTTAGCCGTGGAAATTGCAATTGCCGGCTCTGGTCCCATAAAGGGCACCCTTACTCTTCCTGCCAGAAGTTCGTCAGTTTCATCCCATTTCTGACCTTTATATGCTGCTTCCATGTTAAGTGGATTATTTGCCCATTTCTTATACTACCTAGACCGTAATTATAATTTCGTTGGTGAATTAGGAAAGAGGGAATTTCGTATATCTTTCATTATGCGTTTAGTTTGTTTTGCCTTTTAAATGACTTTACAGTATAATAGTCCAGGCAGTATCTTCGCACCTTCTAGAAAAATGAAAGGATTCCCCTTCAAAGAGGATCCCTTTCAGCGAATCTACATAATAGCCTCACAATTTGTTCAAACATTTTTTTCTAATCAAAACGTTTCTCTAAAATTGCGAGTTTTCAAGGTATAGGCGATTTAATATTAAAAATGTGTCATCATCGATACCGAAAAAAAAATACGAAAAAAGGAAAATTTCACTGTTGCCAAAGCCTCTAAATATTCACCAAACATTCACTAACCAAATTATCTCGCGCTCACGCAAAATATACATGATGAAAGATTAATGTTCGTTTACTTTATAAACTATGGTCCAAAAATGATTCCTTATAAAAGCGTTAGGGAAAAAATGGAAATTAATTAATATTTTCAGAACCGCTTCAGATATTTCACTGATATTTAGTACGTAGTGAATAAAGTTGCATAATTTTCAATGCAAAAATAATTTTTAGCTTTAACAGTGGCGTGCGTACGGGTATTGACTTCGATATTTTTTAAGAAAAAAATGATACGCCAATGGTTTTTTGCCAAATAAAAATCGTTTTTGAATTCCCCGTTCAATTTAAAACAAATGATCTCTCTTGAGTTGCTTTCCTTCGATGCGCCATTTTTGAGTAAAAAAAACCGTTCTATTGTCCGAGAAAATTGATGTAATAATTGAAGAATGCAATTTAGCAATAAATATCTAGTTGCTCTGGAATATGTCACTGGCTTTTGACATCTGACAAGTCTCTGTTATTCAAATCTTTTTCATTATTTAGTTTTTATAATCTTGTTAATAATGGTGTATTATTCAAATGCAGAAATGACGGAAATGCATTACGTATATGGCCTTGCCGACGGTAATGGTGAGCAAGCCAGACGGATTTATCACCAGAGATATCCCGATCGTGCTTTGCCAGATAGTCGAACCTTTTCTAATATTCATCGTCGCCTTGTTGAAACTGGTTCTGTCCGAAAAGGAACATCTGAAGGTAGACCTCTAAGTATGAGAACACCTGAAATTGAGGAAGAAGTGCTGCACGAAGTCGAAGAACATCCTGAAACGAGTACAAGGAATATCGCACACTTAAATATTTGCCATCAAATTGTTTGGAGAATTTTAGTGGATTTTTTCTTATATCCTTACCATATTTTAAGAGTACAGGCATTACTTTCCATTGATTTTCCAAGGCGTGGGACCTTTTGTCAGTGGCATCGTCAAAAAATTACACAAAATCCGCAATTTGAATCAATGATTCTGTTCACGGACGAAGCTAATTTTTCTAGAAATGCCATTCAGAATTTCCGAAATAATCATTTCTGGGAAGGGGAAAATGGCTATGCCGTAACCGAAACCCATTTCCAACACCAATTTTCGGTTCACGTATGGGCAGGAATTATTGGCAACCACTTTATTGGCCCATTCTTCTTGCCGGGACGACTTGACGGACAGACTTATCTCAATTTTCTTCAACAACAGTTGCCTTTGCTCCTTGATGATGTTCCGTTAGTAATAAGAAACAATATGTCGTACACGCACGATGGTGCACCCGCGCATTTCAGTGTAACGGTTCGTAATTTTTTAGAAACTGTTTATCCAAATCGTTGGATTGGCCGCGTTGGGCCCCAAGAATGACCACCAATGTACCCAGACCAGTTTAAATTTCTTTTTGTAAGACACTAGTGTACATAAGTCCCATTAACACTGTAGAGGAATTAAGAGAAAGAATACTTAGTTGCAGCTTGTGATAGAATAAAAAAGACTCCAGGGATATTACAGCGAGTGCGCAATGCCATGAGAAGGAGGGCGGAAGCTTGCATACGAAGTGAAGGGGGCCATTTACAACAATTTTTGTAATCACTTCGTTGGCTTTAATGTTATGTTCATGTTGTCAGTTGTTGTTGTTCATTACCGCTAATGTGTTTAATTACGGTTTTTATTGAACGGGAAATTCAAAATAATTTTTATTTGGCAAAAAACAATTGACGTACCATTTTTTTCTTAAAAAATATAGAAGTCAATACCCGTACGCACGCCACTGTTAAAGATAAAAATTATTTCTGCATTGAAAAATATGCAACTGTATTAACTTTCACTACTTACTAAATATCGGTGAAATATCTGAAGCGGTTCTGGAAATCTTAATAATTTCCATTTTTTTTCCTAAAACTTCAACACCCCGAGTTTTTGTAAGGAAACATTTTTGGGCCATAGTTTATAAAGCAAACTAACATTAATTTTTCATGTAGTTTCAAACCCTTAAATATGCGCATATCATTAAGGAACACCCTGTATACAAATATACATTGATCCCGCGCTTAAGTAACAATTAAAAAACAAACGTTTACAATAACAGTAGTCCCTAATAGGTCAAAGCATTTCATATGGAATATTTCTGAGCTATGAAACATCAAAGCTCTCGTTTTTTCATATTGTTTTTTGGCCTCAAAAACGACAAATTTCGCATTTTATCGAAAATTAAATTGCTTACATCTTGAGAAGTGCCAACGCTAGAGGAAAGTTCTAAAACACCTATTTTTATTCAGACTATCCCAAAAAATCTAAATACACTCTAGCCGGAAAAAAAATCATTTCTTGAAATTTGTTTATAAAAAGTGTATGAACAAATTTTTCCAATAAGATCATGATAAAATTCAAGCCATAATATTTTTATGAAAGATGCAAAAATAATACCTGGAGTATAAAGGATTTTAATTATAGTTATTTTGTATATCAGCTAGTTACAATTTTGTACAATAAACTATCTGCGTAAAAGAGACATGAAGCATGAAAAATTCAAAATTCACGCGTATGGCCTCTTGCTGGTATTCCAGTGATTTTGTTCCTCTAAACCCTCCTACAAATCGCACAGCACACTGCTTCAAGAACCAAAAAACCTGGCCAAAAGTATAAAAAAAATGTTTTTTACGTTGGATTTGACAGATTTTGTTCACAGTTATAGCGATGCCTAATTCATCTTTTGATAACATTGGTTCCATTCCGATTGCGCCGCATGCGGAACTATAGTGAAGTGAACGTCTGTCGCATCAAACGTTAACATGCCTATACGCTCGTATCTAAAAAATGTATAATCAAATAGTTTCGCGTTCTAAAACAACCAGCTGTATCGCGATGTGGCAAAATGGATTGCAGAGTAGACGGTATATATACGTATATAATTATGATGTGGCATTGTATATATTACTTGCTAATACATGCATGACAATAAGTCAATATGAAATTAGTGCATGAATTTAAAGAGAGCTTAGTCCATTAGATTCCACTAAATTTCGGATAGCAGCATGTTTATCAGATACCCACTTAAAAAATATGCCAATTCTGGCTGCAGCTGACTGCACCTTTGACATAATATAAAACTTAGAAACATATAACCAAAAATGAGGACAATTAAAGCATTGCTGTGTCCGCCACATTTTGGATCCATTATTTTTATTTATTGTGTAATCAGTACTAAATTCTTTATCAGTAATCTTAAAACTCACACAACTTACAACAAAACACACAAAACTAGAATTTGAGCGTAAACCAAACATTTTTTCTAACTTGTGATAAATAGATATCAGCAACCTTGAAAACATGTGAATGGTGAAGCCTACTGGATCTTCCTAGTTTTGGTTATACTTTTGGACTTAACCACTGTGCGCTTTAAGAATGCAAGATGGCCCGCCAGGCATTCAGACTGACTCTACTATTGCTGTTCCTTAGTTTCTACGATATCGAGAATTGAAAATGAAAAAACATCGGTTGTCACTACAATAACCTAATCAAGTTCAAAACTTGTACGGTCCTTCCTCATGATAATACTTTTTCTAACTCTTCCCGACTTTTTCACTTGAGCCAGCTGATCTTCATTTGGAAAAACCCATACTCGGTTTTAAAACAACAAAAAATCTTCACCTGTGATTACTGAATTTCCAGTTATGTGCTCTTCAGATTCAAATCGCTCCAAAAATGTTTCTGGCAAGTTACCCTTGTCATCCGCTGTTCGTGATTTAATATGTAGGGTACCCAAAATATGTGAGTTTTCATAAAATTTAAATAATTTTATATATTTCGTCTAATGCTCAGTTGAAAAATACGTATAGTGTCGATGTTAACTGTATATGTGTGATTCACCTGTATTTCATTATAGCTTCTCTCTT